AAATACATTTCGTAAGAGTATTAACCTAACTTATGTCAAATTAGAGTAAGGAATAATAATAAGACTTAAAATAAGACTTGTCTCTGTTTGTGATATTATAAAGGAAACAAAGACAACTCATATGTTTGATTAAACACACTTACAGAGAGATGGGTTTGTTCTGAGGCATTGACTTCGTTACAAATTTTGATCCATTCTGCATCTTGGTTCGAGGGAACCTGACTAAACGAAAGAAGGTGGGCACCAAAGTTGCAAGTGCTTAGTGAAAAATGTGGTCTATCTATACCTCAGAAACTTGGACAAACATAACTCTCCATCACACAGATTATCTAACAACTTTGGTGTGTATAAACACCAGTACTTAATTTGCAGGTAAACGATTGACCGAAGAATAAAGAGATAAGCAAGACTTACCAAACATGTCGTCCATCACCAGACATACTCACTCTGCTTCCAATTGTTCCTTGATCTGCACAAACATTTCTTCAACCTTCAAAAACAAAACAATCAGAGGCCTCCTGATTCATGAAACCCTCTTATGTGAATCTTTAGCTAGCTCATAGATTCCCAATTTCAATTACATAAAGAAAATGTGGCAAGCAACATCAACAATCTACTGGCTTTAAGCTTCATACACTACTGACACAGAAAGTAACCAATCTCCTTCATTTTTCTATCAAGATATCTCAGTACTCAAATGGTGAAACTAGAAACCCAAAAATGTAGTTAAAAAAAAAAGAACATAAGAAGAGGAGGAAAAAAAAATCCCACCTTTAGCTCCATGGATTGCATAAGGGTCTGATTAAATATACATAGAACCAGAATCATTTACTTGTTGCTGAAATCAAAAGTCGAAATTTCCGAACCGAACCCATAAACCCTAGACACTACACCACTGAAATCGAGCTTACACAATTCGAACCACTGTTTCTCACAGCAGTCAATGAGACATATGGTAACGAAGAAGTAAACGGTAGATGAAAGCTCGTTCTTTTGGAAGAGAGAAACATATACGGCCAAGATGAAGCCATCAAGTTCTTCTTCGCCATTGTTGCTGAGAGTCTGAGACGGATGAGAGAGCAAAAAAAAAAAAAATCTCTTTTTGTGAATTTTTAAAAAAGAATAATATTATTATGGGAAAAAGTAATCTCAGCAGCCGTCATTATCAAACGCACCGTCTAAACAAGGCAAAACCAAAAGGTTTCTTCTTGTCTCCTCTTCTCTCTGATATTATTCCTTCCTCTTCCAAATCTGCGAATTGACAGACACAGAGAGAAAAGAGAGAGTAAATTGAAGAGAAACGCGTAAGAAATATGGCGAACAATCACACCGATGACTTAGACGAGCTTCTCGATAGTAAGTTTCTCTTCAATTCGATCGGCTTTTTTTACCTGCCCATCTATCTTGATTGGTGAAAAGGTTCGGTCTTTTAGGGGTTTTGTTTATAGGTTGTTCGTTAAGATTTCTGGGTTTTTCTCTGTGGTTTGTATATCTCAGGCGCTTTGGATGATTTCAAAGATCTCAATCTTTCTCAAAGGTTA